TTTTATATCTAAGCCTTAGAACTAAGTCCATCGGGACCTTTGGAACAAATTCATGTTAAAGAACTCTTTCATGGTGTAAATTGCAAATGAATGCAAGGATTCATACATTCTAGTTTCTTCTCAGCTGCCACAAGACAAATTTATTAACGTTATACTAAATTATCAGTCACTTATGTAAAAAAGTATTGTCTGGTGTTTTTTCTTAATATTTAGCTATTTCAAGGTTTTAATAGCAGCTTACTTGTGCAGTAATATCCCAACCATCTTCCAAACAAACCATAACAGAAGAACCATTTTCCAGTAGCTCAGAGATGATCACACCCAATTGCATTATCCTGTGAAGCTATAAAGTATAACAAATAAGTAATGTACTCAAATATAAGATAAACTTCTAGATATTAATATAGAATCTTTTCATATTTAATATTAAAATACATATTCTGAAATATACATATAGCACAGAGAAATGCGTTGATGCAACAGATTAGAAAGCTATAAAATGTAGCAGTCTCAGGATTTTCATCTGAACTACAACAAAACTAAGTAAAGATTTGAAGATAGGAACTTAAATTATTAAAACCAATGAGTACTGTAATAAAACAGCTGTCATAAAAAGGAGAATGGGAACACCACAGTTGACAGATTTATTGTAGAGAAATTCCATCCTGGGCTTAACACTAAAATAATTTCCTGTGAAATGTTAAGGTTCCATAAAGTCACTAAGTGCTCTGATGGGAGAATCCATGTGAGAGATTTACAAGATAGTGTTTCTAATGCTCAATCTCATGGCAGTTGGAAATTAGTAATAATAATAATAAAACAATTAACAACAATAATAAAAAAAAATCAAACCACAAACCTAAAAACAAACACAGAAAAATCCTATTTCTGTAATATAGAAATAGTATATGTAGATTAAACAGTATTTCTTATATTTTGCATATGGAAAGAGGACACATTAATTATTTGCATTCTAATATTCATTATGCAGTGATACTAAAAGTCCTTGAGCAGGCACATCAGTTAATTTCTCTGAGAAGGTTATTGACTTGAATGAGATTGAGTCAAACATGACAGATATAAGCAGGTTAAAAAATTTAGGTGAATAAGAGCAATTTTATCTTAGTATGAGACTTGTCATTGTTATTACTAAAAGGAAAATCTATATGATGTTTCTACTATATTTGTCATACTATGACAGCATTCTTAGTAAACAACATAACAGACAATATGTAAGCAATTCAGTTTTTTACAGTAGAATGACACTGTTCTTTGCAGAGCACTGAATACAATTCAACCAACAGCAGCAGTAGGAAAGATAAAAGCCTGAAAGAAGGGAGAAAGCAGTATAGGAAAACAAATAAACAAAAGATGGCAACAGACATCTAAGATCATGTATGCAAGGAAAAAATTAAGTTCAGAAAGTATAGAAGGCACAGGAAAGTGAGTCAGGGAGAACAAAATTAAATTGGAGAAAATAAGGAGAAAAAGGATCAACCAAACAACAGTTAAACCCTAGAAAATTCATCCTTGTTTTGGGCAGTCTGATTTTTTTTCCCCTCTTAAACCCCCTCCCCAAAAATCCTATGAATATTGCCATGGAAATTTTGATGGATAACACTTAACTCCTTTGAACATTCACATAGTCATTACTTAGAAAATAAAAGAAACTAGTTTTCCTGCAATTTTTAATAGGAAAAGACTGAAAGAGAACTACTTTTAAAACCAACCATTTTTTTAATTGTTCTATACTTTCTCAGGCAGTAGAATATAAGAAAGGCTGTTTTTTGCCCTCCTTCATGAAGAAACTGATATGCAATCTGGTTAAACAGATTCAATATAAAAAAAAAGCAAAATAATATTTTTATCATTTGTCTTCAGACGATAGGGCAACACTTCAAATTTTATGTATTCACACCCTTATAAAGAAATATTTAGCCTATAGTGTGTTAAAATCAATACTGTGTAACTTCTATTACCCAGGAAAGCTTAATACAATAAAAACACACTTCCAAGATGATGGATCTATGTCCTTTCACAGGAATAGGAGAAAATGTGTCAAATCAGTCATAAATTAACTTTATCACATAAGTCACATATGACATGATTTAAACCACGATGTGGTTTTAATGTCACACAGCTAGCATGTCACACTGATCTAGTCCTGAGCAAAGAGTGGTACACTATTATTTTTCTTCTCAAATATGCCAAAAGAGAGTAACCCCCATGTTATTATCTCCTCTTGATCGGCTGCTACAGGGACATGTTTATTTCATCAAAGTGACATTCAGTTCATTTATCTGCACTTATCAACTTGCTCTACTACTCTGTGATTGAAAATGTTCACACGATGAGGGAGTCAAGTCTTCATGCTCTTCCCACTTCTCTGTTTCCTGAAGAACGTGGTGGCCAGACACAGCAGTGGCCAGGTCCTGTGCTCTCTAAGGAGTAATCACATCTCAAGGGAAGAAGTTAAGTCCCTCCTTGCACTGTAGCACATTGCAACCAGGAGTACATTTTTTGATGCATAATTACTGAAATGACTGTGTTACATCTATTTCCTCCTTAAGAAATCAGCATAAGAGTCTATTCTGTTTACTATGATTAATTGCATTTGACAAGAATTTATTCAGTAGAGGATTCCAAACATAACATGCAACTGTTAAAGAACATTCACTGTAATTAAAATGCTTTTAGATTTGCAAAGATCTTTCCCACATCCTTCTTAATTTGAATCTTGCAAAGTTACTTCCAAGTCTTGCCTTTATTTGGTTAATCTTTATGTAAGGGAATATGGGATAGGGAAGTAAAGGAACAGATTCAGAGAGAACAGATTAACAACACACAGAATCTCCTCTCCCCTGCAAACACTCCCCCATATTCCACAACAGATAACAGATGCTAGCTTATTTGTTAAATACTTGTGCATATGGAAATTCAGGGTGGGAAGACATATGAAGATTAGAATATCGGTTTTAAAATCAAAAGGCTCATTTATTGTTCTATACTTTTTTCCTGATTTTTAAAATATATAAAATGAGAAAAAGCAGTTAAAACCAAGACCATATATAGGCAGATAAAATGGTCATCTCTACTTATGTACTTATTCCATGTTATAAACAATAAATTACATTATAAAAAATGCCTCCCACAGTTGCAAATGTTATGACTGTATGTGCTGGTTTTGGCTGGGATAGAGTTAATTTTCTTCATAGAAACTAGTACGGGGCTATGTTTTGGGTCTGTGCTGAAAACAGCATTGGCAATACAGGGATACTTTCGATATTGCTGAGCAGCGCTTACACAGAGCCAAGGCCTTTTCTGCCTCTCACCCCACCCCACCAGTGAGTAGGCTGGGAGTGCACAAGGAGTTGGGAGGGGACACAGTTGGGACAGCTGACCCCAACTGACCAAAGGGATATTCCATACCATATGACATCATGCTCAGCAAATAAAGCTGACGGAAGAAGGAAGAGGGGGACACATTTGGAGTGATGGTGTTTGTCTTCCCAAGTAACTGTTACGTGTGATGGAGCCCTGCTTTCCTGGAGGCGGCTGAACATCTGCCTGCCGATGGGAAGTGGGGAATGAATGCCTTGTTTTGCTTTGCTTGCACACGTGGCTTTTGCTTTACCTATTCAACTGTCTTTATCTCAACCCACAAGTTTTCTCGCTTTTACTCTTCTGATTCTCTCCCCCATCCCACCAGGGGTGGAGTAAGCAAGTGACTGTGGTGCTTAGCTGCTGATCAGGGTTAAACCACAACTTTGTATTAAAATGATAATGCTTATGTAATGACAGAATTGATAGTATGCAAAATAATTACAATGAATAAAGAAGAACAGCTGGTTAGAACACAATATTTCTGACAGAAAGAGCCTGAAATTTATTTTGCGTAAGCAGTACTGCATATAGATTATTAGAATTATCTGTCATATAAATTACCTGTGGGAACCACTCTGACTCCCCAAGCGCTTTAAGGAATGTTGCCTCAGAATCTGTAGGAATAGTGCTGGGAACACAAGCTCTCATCAGCTTTTTAAAGCTGGCCTTTGTCTGTCGGATGTCACTGAATTCAACAGGAACAAATTCACAATTCAAAGCAAAATCAAGTTTGAATCCCTGTTTGAAAAAGACAACAGCAGATATAATTTAAAGGGAAGCATGTTTTTCACTGACAGTCTCATCAAATCTCAGTCTTGCCTGCTTTATTGCTAAATATTTCAATTCCTGATTAAAAAATCTGTTTAGTTAAACACCTGCCCAGGATAATAAAAATCATTACAACACTTGCAAAATGTACCATAATAAAGTACCCATCTATTACTCATAACAGCAGAGTGTATTGCACAGCAGTCATATCTTTAGTAACAATAACAATACTAGTAATAATAGTAGTAAAAAACCAAAGTTGAGTGATAAATCTGTTGAGTTCTTTATACACAACGTAATGTGCTTCCTTTAGGATTTTTAGAGCAAATTAACAATAAATGAATTAAAATTAAAATAACTGTATGGATGACATACCAACAGTGCACGAGATTCTAGTAGTTCAATAAAGCAGAAAAAAAAGTAACCCCGAAATCCAAAAAGAACCTCTGAACCTGCAAACTAGCTGACTCATCTAAGCAGTCACTGCACATTGAGACAGTTGTTTGTCTAAAGTACCTAGTTCAACACAGAATAGCAGTCAGGGAATACCCAATGTAATTTCAAAGAGATTTTCCTAGCAGAATTCTTAATGTTCTGTTTTACTTACTGCATATAGAAAATGAGCAATAAGAGTGGAGAACTGAATTAAGAGATCAAGTTAGCTAAGTGAAAAAAAAAGAACTATAATGAAAAGGTTAATAAGGAGAACATTATTAGGAAAAACAATTCTCATGTATGAAGCATCACTGAAGATCTTCACAGCAAACTTTTGCAGTTTTCTTCAGAAATTGCTCTTTCATGGAATTAAACTTGGATTGCAAATAATCTTCATTAAGCTGCTTCATAGGATGCCAAGCAAAAATGTAGGGAAGTGAAACCTCAGATTTAGTTCTGTTTATTTTTTGGCATGGTTCAAAAATAAATTCAATAGCTCAACTACCAAACTTGTTTTTAGAATAATAAGTTGTAATAACGTATGATAAAAGCAATTGAGAAAAGCAGCACAATTTCCTTAAAATGTTATATATTTCTGTTTGTATCATCAATTTATGTGACATGATATTTAGCAGAATAAAGCAGGTCCTTATAGGAATCAAGATCAGTAATGCATGCTCTGCCAAGCCCTTTACAAAGCCAGCAAATTCCAAGTTAGCAGGATGCCAACAAAAGCTTGGAAAATACTTCACAATCAAAAATCAAAAAGATTTCTTTATACAAAAACAAAAGTTGAATTGATCTTATAGACTAGATACAAATCAATGACAGCAGGCTCGAAAGCATCACTTAATCACTATGTAATTTTACTCTTACATTTGCTAACACAATACGCTTTTCCTTAGAAATGCCCAGAGATGACTCATCTTTAGCAAAATTGTATTATTAAACAAAACAAAAAAAAAAAGTGAAAAATCTGTAAGCTCTAAACCAGCAAAGAAATCATCCAGCACAATTGTAAGGATCCTTGAAGTATTGATTTTTAAACACTTTCCAAATTATATAAATTCTACTGGATTTCAGAATATTTCATGTTGATTTTGTCCAACGCTTGTGGTTTGTACATCCAATAGTCAGTTCTTTTCATATTCTGCACAATAATACACACTGGTATGGTAATATATTAAAAATGCTTTAATTCATACCAAGTACTAACATATTATCCCCACCTAGTTTGCGACTGCTGATACATTGAACAACTACAATTTTTTGCCCATGGGTCACTTCAAAGCAGAAAACTAAAGATGTTTCTACTATGTATCTTTAGATCCATGATTGAACTCTTCGCTCATCATTCATTAAGAAAATCAAGCAAATAGAAACATGAATAGTTGTTACTATTGGATTATGGCAATTTAATTCTACGTAATCGTTTCTCTTGCATTACTCTTCCTCTACCTTTTCATCGAAGTGTCTCCTTTGCCAGAGCCTTCTGGGGGTTATAGTTATAAAAGAAGACTTAACAAGATGAAAAACTGATATGAATAGACCTGTTTGAAAACTTTGGGAATAATGATAAATGATGTTTACTTTCAAAATTTCTGTTTAGTCTTTTATGTTATATTCTTATGCTTTATTATATTAAATCAGAACACTTTGATTACAGACTTAAGAGTGTATTTCTGTAAATTATTGTTATGCTAATTATATTAGAAAGTGATAGAATGTCAAATGAAATCTAATTAAAAATGACTACTCTGTGTACCAATGCATAATGAAGAAACCAAAAGGAAAACGAATTTGCAAACCAATTATAAAAGACAAAGTAAAAATGGACTAAGAACGAATACCTGTTATATAACCACCATTTAAAAATACAACTGAAAATACAAATAAGATATAAAAGAACATTTGAAATGACAAAGAAAAGTCAAAATAGAAACAAACTTTGCAAAGAATTTTGATTCATCATTCTGATACAGCATGATTCTTCCGTCTCCTGATACGACATAATTTCAAAAAGAACTGAATACTGACGTATTTTCTTACTACCAATAACTGCTTTTGGAAGTCATGTATTTCAAAAAATACATTCTATTTTATGTATGCTCACATTTCAAATAAGAAAGTAGAAAACAACTGACTACTCAATCTTTGAATGCAGAGATTAAAAAAAAAAATCTCCAAACATTTTCTGAAAAAAAGTAAAACTACCAAGAATTAAGGTAGAGGATACCCGTTTCTTAAACAACTGCATCTAAAATATTAAATCTATCCAAAAAGGTGTATGAAACTGTAGACATTATGGTCCTCTTCTTGTAATCAAATCAGGATGGACAGACTTCTGGGTTGGCCTTATTCACATCAATTTGGCTTCATGTGAATTTAAGCGCTGCCCACAGTAATGAAGGTTTTCTTTTCTGGTAATCGCTTTCCTGACTAACAACATTCCATTTGCTTCATAACATATTTCAACACATCAGGAAAAATAAAATTGCACTTCAAATTACCAAATATGTCTGTTTCATGTTTCTCAAAATAGAAATCACTGAGATGATAACTCAGCTGAACATTAGAGTAGTCAGCACAATCAGAGTACAGTAGTATGTATTTAGGTGTAATTAAGCATGGTTCTGAAAGCAAGAACATACAGATACAGAACTCCAGCACTTCCTTGGGATAGCGCTGAACAGTCTCTGAAAGGGGCAGCAAGCTCTACTGCCGCTACACGAGCCCCACTCCATCTGCCTACAAGTGCCATCATTCATCTTTATCCCAGCAGCTACACCGAGCAGAGCCAAACTTGCTGCCCTTGCTCCCTGCAGAGCCAATGCAGGGAGACAGCTGAGACAGCGAAGACATGGTGACATCCGAATATGAAAGCTTTGCTGGATGCACTGCTGCCTAGCAATGTATCTCCTTCCTAGCCACATCCTTCTCAGTTTGAATGCTCTTACCTTGTACAAAAGCTGTTCCATTCCTCCAGTCATCTGATACCCATCTTTGTATCTCTTGGCTCTACTACACATCAGCACTAGACCAAAAGCGACAGAGAGGACTCTACTCCTAGAACTTTTGTGAATTTGAGCCTGATCTTTAACTGCTCTTTAAGATAATTTAGTATATTTTAATTTATGTTAACTTTGTTGTATTATATAACCACAGAGCTTGATTTTCACACACATACACCCTTCCAGTCCACACTGAGTTATACAGCATTAATTGTTACTCTGCATATGGGAATAATCCTCCTAATAGTTTACAGCTTTAAGAGAGTTATCCATTTACCTTATCGGTAATATTATTTACTGTTTTGTAAAAACATTAGAGTTATTACATGCAAATCAAATAAAACCTACGTTAACATAAAAAAAAGCTGCCATTACCCGTAACTGAGATTTTTCTCCAAAAATATAGAGCGCTGCTTGCCGTCTCAGAAGCTGACTTTGCAGAAAAGTGCTGCTACTGTAGGAAGTGGTGTTATCTTTCCCTGCAAGTCTTGCACCAACATCAATGAATGGAGTCTGAGTGTTGATAAATCGGTTGCTTGAACGAAGACTCGCCCATACACCTTCAAAAAGATGAAAAATATTTAAAATCCTTTTTGCATGAGGCACTGGAAATTATAATTATTAAGGCATATGCTAAAACATAATTTGGAAAGTAGAGTGCCAAACATATCATTTGCATCTCTCATAGGACATAATTAACAGCACATACTAGAAAGGAATATTTTTGTAACAAAAACTCAAAAGCATCCCACTGCATTGTCATTTAACCTCAGATACTAATCCGCACAATGCGTTCTGTTGCAGAGAAAATGGTTGCTATGATATCAGTAATACAATGATGAAATGAATCACAACTTGCAAGTAACTAACTTCCACTCAAGTGTATGGAAATGAAATTGCTAGTGGTGTTCTTTTCAGAATTAGGGATAAAAATTTAATGTATTTCCTTGTCAAAGGCATATTATTTTGGAAGTCTAACTAGGAAGAATATTATACAATTACTTTATTCAAAAACGGAAATAGAATCACTTAATATTCCCTGCTACCTAGAATTCTTGTGTTCCTTTCACCCTACACTATGTAATAGTATCAACCATATTGTATTATAATTAAAATGTATATAGAGATGATCAATTCAAATACTACATTTCAGAATAAAGTATTCCATATTTACTCTTGAAATGCCATGATTAAAATGCAGAATGCTATGAATTTTATTTTTTAATTGTCCATGTCTAATGGACAATTAGAGATGAAAATGAATTTAAGGAAGTTCTTTTTTTAATCATGTATTTCAAGACTGTATTCTAGCAGATGTGACTACGGTACAGTTGTGTGAGTACAGAGAAGGATACCTAGAAGATCACAGTCCTACAGTTTTAATCTGGCAGTAAGATCACCATTACTTTGGCAGTAGGGCATGGTACAGAAATCCCAAAGCCAGCAACAACACGAGCTTGAAACAGTGCAGTGTGACGTGGAACTACAGACTTAAATCTGCAAGCAGGACAGCAATATTTGAATGGCATTGTACCAACCTGATAACTATGCCTCTCAACAGCATTTTCAGTTTGCATATTGTGCCTTGCTGATGCAGCTATATTGTCATTTACAGAGGAGGAAATTCCTACAGCATACAGACATACTCTGATCTGATCATGTTTAAGTAATTTCGTGATTTCAACATTAAAGTAGTAATAAACCAGATTGCCAAGGCCTGTTTAGCACCAGCAGAAGAAAAGACAAGTAGTAAATATTTTTCTGTTTCTTGTGCCTTAGTTAGTAACAATGATTTTGTGAGACTGTTTTTGTGTGTCCAATGTAAGGTATGTGAAAGGTACTTGATTTCCAGAATATAAATAGCACTACTTGAAAATCAAATCCCTTAAAGGATACTAAATTTGGCGTCCAAATGGCAGTGTGAAATTCTTTAACCCAATATGCAGTAAATCAGATTATCAGAAGAGACTCTTGTCCATAAATCTGTGAAGCAAGATATCAAAAAGAGGCACCAGAAATACCTCGTAGTATTAGAAATTTAGATATACAGTACCAAAAAAACCCCCCAACCCCTTCAGTAAAATTCAATAATACGCATAGTTAACATTTCTTGCATAGAAGAAAAAAGCTGCAGATAACAGTAAAATTCCACTGAGATAACTCAACCAGCAAAATAATTTTATTCTACTTTTTAGAAGGATTATGTTTCTATTAAAGAATAATTCTGTACAGTAATCCTCAACAGGGACTGTCTGTACAGTTTAGCTTGTCTGCCTGTCTGGCTGCTAGTCTTAGATGTGAGTAAACGAATAGGAGTAGTTGAGAATGGTTGGCTAGGAACTTAGGAACTGGTAACAGTTCTAAACAGTTTCCACTTCAAAGACAGCCAGCTTTATAAAATGCCTCACACAGTAAAGTAGTATGTTTCACATAAACTTCTGTTCCACATCTGAACTACCACAGATGAAATAATAAAGACAAGCAGAAATCACAGTAAGCATTTAATAAGAGAAATAATTTCTTGTTCATTTGGTATGAAAAAATGCTAGCTCAAACACAGACAACTATCCCCAAAGATGATATATAAAAAATGCACAGTCACACTTTCTAACATTTTACAAATGTAGGACATCATTAGCACCTGTAGAACATCAAAAGTAACAAAACTGGTTACAAATACATGCAGATGAATATGTTTACCAGTGATGGATAACAGTGATTAAAAGACACAGTTATACTTCTATTATATTTCGATTCTAATTTTGCCTAGTATTTTTTGCCTTTTTTTTTTGTTAGCAGTATCTAGCTTTCATTATTTGGCATATATCATATCGTTATGATTTTCTAATTTGGCAGAAATAAATTTTTCCCTGTTCACTAACATTAACAATTTTTGAAAGAAAAATAATTGACTAGGTAACAGTATTTCTTAGCTATTTTACTGAAGCAGTAGGAATACTAAATGCTCTTTTGCAGAATTAATTTTCTGCTGTTTAAAACTTTCACATAGAACATTTTTTACATACCACTCTGCATTAGATCATAACATTATTAAAGAATAACATGGTGAAGTGTGTGGCTAATCACTGTCACTGGATCATACATTCAATGGCCAAAAAAACCCCAAACCAAAACAAACCCACAAGACTGAACTACAAAACCAAAATTTTGTTAATGCAGAATCAAGGCTTTCTGTCAGTATCACTTTAGCATCCATTAAGATATTGTAGTAGTTATGGAGATGGTAGAAAAGAACGTGCTTTCAGGACACAGAATACAGTACCTTGATGGACTCTTCCCTTAGTTGCTGATTTGGAATTTGAATGAGTGAAACATTTATCTCTGTACCCAAGCACTGGTAGATAACAGTTAAGACAGAAGGAGGAGGAATGGAATGCACATTGCAGCGAGACACATTGCAGGAGAAAAGAAAAGGGTTACTTATTAATTTCCAAAGATCTAGTATATATTGAATTTCTTTATAGTACATGATTTATCAGACAGCACAAATCTTAGTCATCGCAAGACAAAACATCAATCAAGCCAGAAAAACCAATATAAAATGGGAAGGAAGTACCCATTTATCAAAAAAGGAGTAATTCTCATTGTCATTGCAATAGTTTCAAACATGTAGCAAAGCCATCATGTGTTTTTCCGTAATTGTAATACCAAAGGAAATGTAACAATTAAATCATTCTGCTGAATACTTTACTGAAAGCTTCTATTCAGCTGAAAGTTGGTTTAATTAAAAATCCCAAACCTTACTCCTTTTTTTAAAAACAGTTTTAGTCTTAGGTACATAATTTGATAGACCTCAAAATCAAATCAGAGTGCAAAATGGTAGTTCTATACTCCTACAAACATTTGCAAAGGACTGTGTAAAAGTATATAATTTAGACAACATGTAATACCTACCACACAAAGATTTCCTCCCTCCTTGCAAAAATTCCCATTTTCAGTGGGAGCTTTATATGCTTATCAGAGCGTGCATTATTGGCTCAAAACTACATCAACACAAGCAACTTCTTTTAATACAAATATTCTATTAAAACATACTCAAAATATTAATGTCTCCTGCTTTTAAAATAAATGTCTGAGTAGAGTCTGTATTTATTAATTATAAATATCCTGGTATTTTTCCAATAGCAGCAAATCATATTGAGAAGACATTTTATTCTACTAAATTACACAACAATGCTAGGTAAGAAGTGCTGTTCTGTAGAACCACACTATACTTATAAAATAATATAAGAAGAAAAGGTATGTATTTTGAGTGAACTTACAATTCTTATGAAAGATATAAACCAGGGTATCGCCAAAAAAAAAAAGGTCCAAGGATGAAAATATCTTATGAAATATAAGTATTTGGCCAAATATTTCAGATCAGAAACAACTTAATTGGGCTTTAGGCAACTACTTTGTTACAATGTTCTAGACAAAGTAAAAAACCATACCTGACCCGGACACAAATATTCTGGAAAATTGATGAATGGAACGATGATTTTTAAAAATGAGAAATACTATTCAAGCACTGGCACATATCTTTTAACTTAAATTTTGAAAGGGTATGTATTAAAAACACAGTGTCTGGCACAAAAAAATAGAAAATGTCATTTTCAATTGGTGTTATCACAGCTGAACCTGACTTTTGAGCCCTGGTATGTGTGAGAATAAAAACAAAGAAAGAAAGAGGGATCCAGAATCAAAACCACAAAAACACTGCTATTGTATTTTGTACAGTGTAGTGCAAAATCCATAGCTGCTTGCTATGATAAAGTAACTAGCTAACTGCATTATCTTTTTTTCTTTTTTTTTTTTTTGAGTTATTCTTAGGAATATGAAGGCGAGTGACATCATCATTTTTAGACTGCCTGCATAAAATCAGTCTGTTTTTTCAGCTGACCAAACCCGTGTATTTCTGGTCCTGCATACAGCTGTATGACACTACTTTACATGTGAAAAACCTTAGCTGTGAAAAAGTAGTAAAAAACCTTACAACAATAAACCACGTGAATCAATTTGAGAACAACAATTTTATAGATTCTATATACTTTGTGTATTTTAGAGTTTCTTCTAAAAGAATTGTCAGCTAATCTAAAAAACCTAGTGTTTACTTCTCTACCGGGAGATATTCCCTTTCCCTGTTCTCTCTCATCCTGTCAACTTCTCATCTTCACTAGGGCTCCCATTGTACTTGTCAAACATTCTCATGTTTCAGCAAAGTCCTCACGTATCATGCTGAACTGTGAATAGACTGCAGATACTGGGCTGTAATTACACCTTTCAGATATATAGGGCAGGTGTGGCATCAATCCAGCAAGACACAAGATAACTTCTCTGTCCTCTTCCTGATTAATGCTGAAATTTAGCCAAAAGACTTCAACATCCAAGAAAACAACATGTCTGTGACCTGATACTGCCTTGAGACTCCTTTTTTACTTCACTGAGTAGCAACAAATTCATCCTATCACACTTACCACAAACTCTAACCCCAAAAACCAGCAATAGTCATTTCAGTAACCCTTTTATCTTCAAAAGACAACTTCCACACAGTCAAACACCAAGCTTTCCCTTACTTATCTGGAGCACCTTCACTGCCCCTCAGCACCACTTCACTGTTGGCACTTTTGTCCCAACACAAGAGGGTGGAATACAACCAAACGTCTGCAGTCGGCTACCCAGCATTTTCACTGTTTCAGTACAAAGTCAAGCTGGGCACAGTCACCAATTTACCTAAGAACTCCAGACACAAATATAACTCCAGTTCTTTTAGGTCACTAGCCATTTTACCTATCCAATTAAAATCACTGGGTTTTCATCTCTGTGTACTACAATAACAAGACAGTGAGCAGAGGGCATAAACAGAACTTTTAGATAGGAAATGTGCATACACTATGATTAATGAAAATGCACAGAATTTTCCATTCTCTGGGGATTGCCATTTAAGTGCCCTTCCTCTCTTCCCTTCTACAACAATCCTCACGTAACTTCTCTATACAGCTCTCAGCATTTTCCTTCCTTCCTTCCTCCCTCGCCCCTGCCTTCTTCATTCCTTCATTTCCCTAATCCCGTCCATCTCTTTTGAAAGTTTTTCTCTACAAAATTGTTTTATTCTTCCCTATATGAAGCTACAGTTTTTCTATCACACAATAATTTAAGTTGGAATGGACCTCAGCAGGTCAAAGTAGGTCTAACTAATTTTAGATGAGATATCTTACAGCCTGTCTCACTCCCACCTCTGAAAATCTGAACTGCATTTGCTGTAAGACAGTTAATATACTGCTCACAAAGCTGGAAGGAGTGAAAAAGGAATAAAAGCAACTTTTAGATGCTTAGAAATAATTGTAAGAGCAGCCTTCAGGGCTAAAATGTAAGAGATGAAATACAAAATGCTCCCTTTTGGAAAATAGATTCATCCCTATCCTAACAAACATGTATTTAAGGAATCTGATGTACTAATTTATGCATGTATTGCACATAAAAAAATCAAAACAATTCCATTAGACTAGAAGAGTAAAAGTAGTTGGAATCCACCTCACAGAATGAAAGCTTCTTGTAGAAATGACACTGATGAGCCCTTGTACCTAAGAATAACTATTTCCAAAGAACCCACTGCTATCTCCCTGCATATTACAGCCTGGCCACATAACTCCCTCCTTTACCTAGAGTGAAATTATTCAGACAGATTATTTGTAACTTTACGAAGCATCAGTTAATCTTCAGCCAAATGTCAGAATGATCTGGAATTGGAGATTCTAAAGTATTCAATCCTAATATAAAATATGCATTTTCAGGCCATACATTTTAGACAAATTAAAAATATGGATGAATCACAAAGTATTTAGAAGCATAATTCCTAATGGAGTGCTTAATTTTTCATTAATTTCCAACATGAAACAAGCTTTATTTCAATGGTACGTAAAGGACTTAGATATTTAAATAATGTTATGGACTGAGGCTAATCTGTAATTTCTATTTTGTCGTTTCACAGAGTAACGATTTGGTGAGCAGTGCAATTATTTTTATTTCACTAACATTTTGTTATCATTTATTACTTCAAATAACAGGCTTTGAGCTAGTCTTACTAACCTCCTGGAGCAAAGCTATTGGACAGATTTACATCCAAGTGTCCTGGCACTACCTGCTTAAACACAGTAGACATTCTTGAAGCCCTCCTTTCAGTGCCTAAAGTCAGCCAAAAAAAGAGTAGAAGATTAAAAAGCTACAGCGTTACTCAGACTAACATTTAACATAACTGATAAAAATGCCCTTTTTTCACACAATACAGCTAAATTTTGCCAATTTTGTATTTCAGATTTATTTTTAAGACAGATGCATACATTGGCAACAGTATGGATGTTAGATACAGCTAAGCAATCAACGTATTTTACAATAAATGAAGCAAAGCATGCACACTTTGGGAATGGTGTTATTTTACAGGAAAAGCCACTGTTTGGCTGTATTAGGCCAATTACCACCAACTGAATAAAACAAGACAGACACAATTTCAAGTCACATACTCCTCTTTCTAAGACATTGGGGTAACCTTCACAGAAACCTTACCAAGTTTCATCACATAATAACTGAAATAAAGAATGGATTCTTTTCTTCATGGTTCCACATATGCATAACTCAAGTAGTGTATTTTTGAAAGAGTTTTCACTGCAAGTAAAGCCCTACTTGGAAATGACATTAAAAGCCCATTATAAGTATGTAACACATTCAAATGTCCATTGCTACTGCAGCTAAATAGTATATCTGTTCCTGCAGAATCTGAGCTTGCAATCTTGTATTTTCTCATTATATGGAAGAGTTGTATTTTGCATTCTCTTGAATTTTAAAGTCTCTTATTCAATATACAGTTTTCAATACACTTTGTTATAAAAGATGTTAAAGTGCATCTTTGCTTTTAATTCTGTTAAATAATGTAATTGTTGCATTTGATATATATAAAAAACCTGGAAAATTTTGACACCTTGATATTCTGGAGAACTGTATTTGTTACAGAATTGTAATAAATTATTAATGCCTCAAGATTGGCCATCATATTCAAGTGAATTTCATCAAAAACTATGACCCACAGGTAGATAATCATTTACTGTCAGATTAAGAATACTGAAAATATTTTGGGAAAGATTATAAGCATCCTTTACATACAGAAAACAGATTCACTGAAACTAAGAGTAAAATAGGCTATCTGGAAACTACAACAATAAAGAAACAACAGAATTCATATGGGACATCAAACTAACACCAAATCAGAATAAACTTACTTTTCAACTTAACCATAGAAAAGCACTATATAAACCAGTTTTACCTGGAGACAAAGCAATTGTTGGTCTAACAGTGAGAGTATTACTGCCATTCATTTTGCAGTGGACGGATATCACATTCAGTAAGGCTTGTAGGTATTTTTCCTGTTCTATACTGCTTGAAGATTCTAAAGAAGCAGGAGCTAGAGTCACAAAAAGAATGGAATACATTAAAATACAAATATATTTATAAATACATAGCATAGCAAAATAAAAAGCTTATTATGTAAAGCAGAGCATTGAAAATGTTATGGTTTGTCTATCAAAGGTTCAAAAAGCCATTCCTTTGATGACAAAGAATGCTCAGCTGTTCATCACCTGGCTGCAGAGCAGCACCGAGCAATGTTCTCTTGCATTCCACTCCACAAAGCTAAACTTCTGAAAGAGTCTGTTACCTGATGGTCACTACTTAAAACATTCATCATTAGCCAGTGATCAGTACAAATAGAGATGATGTTGTTTTCCTTTCACTCTCAGAACAAAAAGTAACATTTCTAAGTTTGTGCTACCTGCCAGCAAATTTCAGTTTTTTAAAAAAAAAGTGTAGAGAACAGATAGAACTGTTTCTTTAACAAAAGTAAGTTAAAACCATACTCAACCAGCTCTTCCTCATTCCAGTAAAGGAAGGTTACTTATCTATAACTGGAGGTTCCCTTCAGATATGTTGCCCATTCACTGAGAGTATACATAATCAAAAGGCACCAGTGTTCATGCACTCTGCTGCATTTAGAAACATCAATGGACACAATCTACATGCCCTTAAGGTACCCTACCCCCAGAATCTGACCTTTTTAATGGAATAAAGAAGAGAGGAAAGAGGATGGACAGTACATGCACATCTGGATAACATACATTAAAGGATCTCTAATTATGAAAAGTAACGATCCTGTTCCCTAGTGACAGTACACCTGCTCCTTCACCAGTAGGTAACTTCAGGAAGTGTCTTCTCACATGCTTAGGTAACTTGTAGGACCGCAGGGCTGCACTGTTGTGAGAACCACAACTCCTTCTCTGAAAACCTCTGCATAATCCTTTACACACGTTTCAGGTGACTACTCTACAGATGTCAGAAACAGAATCATTTTCCAATTGTTACTGATGTTGCTTAAGTTGCTGGAGACATGGAGAAGGGCCATTTCAAAGAGAGAGAAGTGGCTGCAAAAGCCTGGCTGAAAGCAAAGGCAGAGAGGAAACAGACACACTTTAAAAACAGAGGGGGGAGAAAAAAAAAAGCAAGATGAGAAGGTATGATGTTCTCAGAAAGTATTGAAGTTAAACAGACAGTCCACACTTAAGAAAATCTTAAGACTTAAAAAAGTTAAGAAACCAGTAACGAAATATAGAACCAAGGGAAAAACCCTCAAAAATAAGAAAAATTAAAAAAAAAATCTTAACCAGAAAAACTCCACCCATTTGTGTCCAGTTGCAAGGACTTAAAGGGAGGGAAGGAGATGAAGGTCAGGTCATGGGCTTTATTATGATGACAAAAAAGCATCCTGTCTCAATGAGTCAGAATTTTTTCAAATGCCAAACAAAATTTTTTGAATTCTAGTTTATTGCAGCCACCTCTGGACTTGCTATAGAACAAAAATGTCATAGCTGCTTAAATCAGGATTTGGTATCCTGACCATAGGAGGCAACATTTGGATTAAGAGATAAAGAGAGTGTCAAAGGATTTGATTAGGCACATTTTGACGAACCACAATGGTAACTTATAGTTTTCTCCAATGATGATCCAATTAGATTCTATACTGGAGACTAACAGACAATAACCTAATTAGCTGGAGATGGCAAAAGAAATTTCAAGGTAGTCCTGTTAAAATTAGTATCTAAATAGCCCTGTTAAAATTAGTGTCTGAATTGGAAGTACACTTAGGAAGTGATTAGAAAATGTAAATACAGGAAACATCATGCTGTTTCTGCCTGACAAAGTGGAACGAGCCTGAAGGAAAACATTATTTTGTCTTCAATTCTTAAGCAGGGTTTACACATTGTGATATTTTATATTTCTATATAAAATTACTTATACAGTAAGTCTAGCTGCATCAACTCACCTGTGGTGTGTGTGTTTTGGGATTTGAAGAGGCCAACAACACCTTTTCCATGAAATCCTCCAGATCTAAGTAGAAGAGTACTATTTTTAGTGTTCTTCCAACAGACAACTGGTAGGCGATTGTGACGGTAACAGCGAGCAACTCTCTGCAGACTGCTGTCTTGAACAGACTGAGGTACTACCAGAAGCCCAGGATAACTGTATTGACAAAAAGGTGAAAAAATAGAACAGCAATTAAAATTGCTTTCAAAACTTTAAACAATGAAAAAAAAAATCCTAAAATTACAAGCTAAATACATATCTTAATGAAAATATATCTCAACTGTTAGAATTATTTTTTATTTAGTAATTCTCATTTTTAGTCCAATCCCAGCAAATACATTAATTTGTAAAGAAAAGTGCATTTTAAAAACAACTTTAATTACAAAAAAACTGTAAGACTGTCGCTACTACTCTCTTTCCATTTAAGGATTTATTTTATTTGGTAATATTTTTCTTCTTAGTATTTCTCTTATCTGCCACTATAATGAAGCTATATTTTTAAGCATGACAGAAAAAACAATTTTTGAAGTGTGCAAAAGATGCAGTAGTTTTGTTTTGATACTTGTATATGAAATAGAATTGAAAGGAAAGAATGTTAGATTGCCTAAAGTATCACAACTAAAACAATCAGTTTTGGTTTATGTCGATATACATTTAAATTTTACGGTCAGATTCCTTAGAATAGTGTATTTGAAACTGCATTTTTGTGTACTTTTTAAAACACTACAATACATTGAGAGATTAGGAAATTCACTGATGCAATAGCTTTAAAAATAGAACACTCAGCAAGATGGTAGTTGTGTTCATGTTAGTGAGACAAGGATTCAAGCAATATGAAAGATTATTTTCTGTCTCCTCCAAAAAATACTCAATTTAAGTGCCAATTTCATATGTTAAGAATAAACTAAGATGAGGAGCAGGGAAAAGTTAGTGCTTACTAAATAACTTTGTTCCTCTACAATATACACTGTTCCTGTAAATTCAGTTCTTTGACATTTGTTGAGTGTATGTAATACAAACAAAATCAATGTACATAATATTTACAGTCTACTTCTTAAAAAACAGTAACTAAACTAATATGGCACTAGATAAGTATTTCTATCCTGAGATTTGTAATCCACTCAGAGATTAATTATCTTTTAAAAAAAAAAATCCTGTAGAGTATTAGAAACTCGTGGTTTTAGGGGAGGAAACAGTTGTCTGCATGATGTTCAAAGCATAATGAAAATGTACAGATATTCTGCAAATTCAATTGTAAAACATGTTTTTTATTGGAAGAAAATACATACAATAGTTTCTGAGGCTTGCCTTTTTATTTAGGAACAAATAGGCAAATAAATTACACAAGTAATTTCTGGTACCAGCACAGTAAGTTACAGAAACCACACCAAGAAAGCAAGTTCTACCAGCTAACTTTATTGGCTAAGTCAGAAAGCTGAAAAGTAGCCTAATGATTTAGACATCAGTGCAGAAAGCCAAGAGAGAGAAACTCCTTCAAAAGGCAATTCAGAGTATCTAGGGTAGTTTCCTCCAAAAGACCTAGGGGCAATCTCTTTCCATGGGCTATAGAAAGAACCTAGGAAGGAAGACTTGTGCTGTGTGACAGAGATTCTGAAAGCTCACTGCTGGCTACCATTGCTGGCACTCTTCCCAAATCTGATGAATACATATGCAGCCACCAGAAGACGAATCTCTGAGTGGAATACAAATAGCTTCAAGGTCACTGGTTGAACACTCCTATTGTAGACAAAAATTTTCTCAGTATAAGTTGCTTAAATGGATGGATCATGTGGTATGTGTGTTACATCATCTTTATTTTCAACTGCTTGACTGAATTGGTAAACTCACCTCCTGCAAAGTGAATACATCCTGTTCAGTGCAGTTATTCTTAAGTATTCCGTTTTTGAACGAGAAGAGTTACTACTGATGGTTCCTAGTCCCAAACGTTGATAGTCTCTGAAACAAGCTCTTTCTACTAACTGCTCCATTGTTGATTTTTCTGATGCTTTTAGGGTACCACTTGTGTGCAGCTCACTGTCATCTGAAACTAAATTTAAAAATCATTAAGAGTTTGCTATTGGTGAGGCCAGCAGTTACACAGAAAACGCTGCTACTTTCTTCTGAACAAAATACTAGTTTGTTTTACTGTCAGTGACGAATGACAAGAACTAATATATACAAACCACTGTTTATATAAATTATAAGCAATAAAATAATATTTTAGTCAGGAAAACTCAATATATCACACAGTTACCTACTTTACCTACTGCACTTGTAACTGGCATGGCTGATAACTCTCCCACTAAAATCCTAGAAAAGGTTATTGCATGTATTCACTTGAACTGAATCAAAGGCAGATAATCTTTCTTTCAACAATTTATGAAAAGCTGCTATACAAAGACATACACGAGACAGAATAATGAAAAATGTGCACATAAGTTTTTTAAACATCCAAGATAAAATGGACCTTGTAATTCTTTTAAACTATCTTCAAAAGATGTAATCTTTTTAAGGCTTGTTTCAAATAAAAAAAAAAGTTTCTTTGTCATAGTTTCACAACAGATAACTTAGTTTCTTAATGCCTGTTTCAGTGTCAAACAGCAGCTTTTTTCAGCTGTGCACGTCAGCTGTGCTTTCAAAAGCAGAAAACCCTTTAACCATGAGAGATAAAAACCATCTCACAAGTTCAAACTGCACTGAAATTCAAGTCAAGCAAGGTCTTTGTACAAAACCTGCCACCTGCCTGTTATTGTCACTTCCAACTATTTCCAAATACTTCTGAAAGTAGATTTACTGTTCACAGCATGTATCAGTTACTTGCTACCACCTCAAGCATTGAAATATGTGTGTATGAGGGGAAGTGTTTCTTCATGAATGAGACACTGAAAAGTATATAAGGATTTAAATTTAAAACAGGACTTTATAAAACTGGACATTAAAATTATTTTAAAAATTAAAAAATATGATACAATTGAAATTTTACTGGCAGTAGACAACATTCAGAATTTACAGGAGTAGAATCTATATACATCTTTTTTGGGTGCATCTTAGCATAAAAGCTCAATGAATAATTTTATTAGCCCTGCAGCTCAAACAAAACCAACAATTCTCTATTTGACCCAAATAATAAAGAGTGTAGCACTGTGGATATCTCCTCTTTTTACTGTGTTTTCGTATTTGTCATGGTAAGAAAGAAGGTATAAAACAAGTATAAAGTGCACTAATGAGGAATAAATTAAATGAGTTTTAGAAAGAACTTTATTTTTGGGCATACTACAGTTTTGAAGGGAAAGCTATAACTGGTTCAGATAAGATGAGGGTGTGTTTTTTGAAATATTTTTTTTAAAATGCATTTTTTCTCTCACGAAAGAAGGTATATTGGTGATCAGAATTTGCAACACATTTGTTTGTGCTTAAAAAGCTAGAGGTTATAAGAGCTTATATCTGTGTCCTTAACCTGAAGAGGGACATGAAGATGTTTTGCTGTCTCAAGTTTAAAATGGATTTTTTTAATTTGATTTTGACGAGGAATAATCCGTCTATTTCACTGTTCCTGAGATATGACTCTTTGTAAAAGTGGGATTTACAGTCTCCTATTTTATGGAACACACCAGTATGATCACCTATAGAAAACAGAATTTAGTAGTGATGTGATTTTAAACTATGAAAATAAGGGGATGGAGAGGAACTGGAGGGAAATCAGGTTTTCATTAGCAACAACTAGTACCTAGAGTACTGTGCCCAGTTTTGGAAATCACATTGCAAGTTATATGTGGACCAGCTGAAGATGACTGAGAAAAGAGCAATGAAGCTGATCAGAAGTCTATCAAGACTAATAAAGAACTGAAAGAACTCCAGATATTTAATATCCAGAAAAGAACGGAGAAGAGAAATATTACAATAGTCCATAAATACATTAAACATTGCAATCAAAATGAAGGGAATCACCTCTTCTATATGTATATGGTGGTAGAATAAGAAGTGAAGCCTCTAAATTGTGGCAAGAAAATGTTTAGGCCTGAATATCAGAAAGTTGTTTGTTTTTTCCCCTCAGCATTAAGGACGGTTAAAGCATTAGTACAAATTGCCTAGAGTTGTGGAACCTTCATGTTTGAAAGCTTCTAAGAAAAAGTTAGGTAAACATCTGAGAGGAACAGATTAAGCATGTCAGTCTTGCCTTAGGGCAGAGAGATGGAGTAGATGATCTCCTGAAGTTCCTTCCAACCCTATCTTTAACATTTCTTTTTTTAAGACAATGCATCACATGCTGCAGATAGTTCCCATTTGCTTAATTGTTGGTATAGCTATCCAACAATTTCCTATATATCAGCTTTTGAGACTTGCAAACAAAAAGTCATTCACAGCAGTCAATATAAAAGAAATTGCAGTGATTAAATAGCAAATTTCCTTTGGCTACTTGTACTCTGTCTGAGCACAGAGTTACTACTGTTGTCAGCTGACTATACCTGAGGTGTCAGTGCAGCATGCAGAGAAAAGCTGTCAGACTTTGATCACTACACATTCCTAGTCACAACATCTGGAAAGCAGCAGGTAAGAACCCTCACAATTTATATTTTTGTATTTTTGTTAGTGGAGTAACAAAGTGACTATCACTAATGTTTATATAACATCTGTGTTCATGGAAGAATGTAGTTTTATATGTCAGCAATGCAAAACCTCTTAGAATTTCTTTATCATCAAGAGAAGTACGAATACACAGGGATGATTGTGCTTGGTGTCTCTGGGTGAAGGACACAAAACCACCCAAAAATCATGCAGGTACAGCCTGCAGAATTGCTTCTGACCCAAAGAATCTGCAACACAAGAATGCATACTAACTCAGCACTTAAGGAAGATGCTGGAAATTAAATTAAAAAACATGATTTTTCATCACTGTAAAGACATTCTATATTTTGTAATCCTTTCTTTTTGCCTTTTTCCCCCACCACTTTCACCTGGAATGAAGGAAGAGAATCAATATTTTTTAGGTTTCCTGGAATGGTTTTCTTCCATTTTGGAGAGAACAGAGACAGTGCAGTAACACAATCATGAGCAGATATATAAAAGTTGTCTGAAGCAGAAGTCACAGAAGTCACCTTGGTCATTGGCCAAATATTAAAAAGGAAAATTTGGTTTGTTTGATGTTTTGAAGAAATCATGAGTGTTTGATGAACACTTTGTTATCTGAAATGCTTTTTTTTTTTTTTAAAAAAAAAGAAAGAATGGTATGACAAAACAATACCTGTTTATGTACAGGAGAATCTGGTTCCCTCTAGTGGTTTATTATAAATTAGCACTGGTCCAGATAAGGATATACTGACAACAGCACATGGTAGGAAAAGAAGTTATTTGGAAGAAAGTCAAACTCCACACCATCATACCAACTACACAAGACGCCCAAATCACTTTCTACCTTCTGTCCCCAAATCCTTTCAACCAAAATTTGGAAAAATGGTATTTTCAGTAGTAATGACTTCTGCTGCTTTCAGAAATAATTTGTCACTTCCATATCCGCAAAAGTCTCCCATAGTATTTGCTCTTTCTTGAATCTCACTGATTACTGCTTTCTCATCAAAGACTAATTGCAGATGTCATGATGTCTAAAGAAAATGGAAACTACAGCATGCTTCTGTGCTGTTCCATCAACACTGTTCTGATGTAAAAAAATGATAAAAAAGATGCTGTATGAAAATAGTTTGATAATTAAAAACTAACCTAATATTTTACTTTACCACTGAATGCAGTCAACTTCCTTTTTTGCCTCATCCTCACAAAAGAAAACACTAAATGTACATATCTGAAATCTTTCTCTTTCCTGTCTAGGAAGACTGCCATTTCTTCTTGAAGATATTATTCAATATATTGGAATGGAAGCATAATAGGATAGACTTATCAACGAACATGGAAAAAAAATGTTTTACAATTACCAGAGATATCGTCATCTTCATTCCAGCCTGGCCGATTCCCTCTTTCTTCCACTATTGTGCCTGTCTTCTTCTTTAATAAATATTGGCGTCCAATTGTCATCTTCCCAGCACGTTTTGCACCTTTCACAATGCTTTTTGAGAAGGTACTATAAAGTCATAGCAACAAAAATATTTAGAAAGATGCATATGATTCTCCCCAATAGTATGTACAGATTTTTATGATGAACCCACTTACTCAAATAAAACTTATTTAATGATTTTTTGTTTAATATAATGACAAAAATTATAATCTCCAGAAAAATATCTTCCTATACTGATTTTTAAAGACCAATTTTATTATTTTGAGATAAATTTGTGTCTATTATGTCTAATGGTAATGAATAAGCAGCCATTATCCTTCTTTAGGTATTTGTATTTTGCTAGTAATGTGATAAATCTACAAAGTTGACAAAGTAAAGGTTGGAACGATAGAAATTACCTTAAAGTTTTAGGATTCCATTACTAGCTCTGGATTCTACTTTCCTGTGTCAACAATGCAATTATCAAGAGAATCACAGGAACTACCACTCTGGAACAGACTAATGATCCATCTGGTCTAGCAAAAATTAACATGTAACAAACTTCAAAAGAAGACCCAAAGCTCAAACTCTAGATTAAGAGACACTAGGACAACTGTACAGACTGTGCTAAGGGTAAAATTAATTCTAACTCACATTAAGTTATTAACCTATAAAGCAATACACAAGAAATCTGGTTTTTGTGTTGGCATAGTTTGCAGAGCTTAAGATGCTACTTGCATTGTGTGTGTTTCAGAATGTAATGAGATGCTTGTTCAAATTTACTGCAGGCAGAAATTTGGATAAATAATATATTCCTATACCAAACTGACATGTATATCATACTAATCTACCTTTTATTCAGTAAATATAAAAAGATGCAGAACAGCAGTTATTTTGACTTCCCTGAAAACTGCTTGAATGATATGCATTTCTGCAAAGCTGTCAGATTGTTCAATGTATTTGACTAATACTAAACAAGGACACCAGTAATAAAAGAAGAATGACTATACCGGAATGAAGTGTTCTTTTCTTTTTGTTTTGGTAAAATTATCTGTGGTGCTGTTTGCCCAGCTGCAAATGCAAAAGTGCTGAAGATAGATTGAGGATAACGGAACTTCATTAATTGTTTCTTAAATATTTCCACCACTTCAGGACTTACTTCTTCATCAAATGCTACTTTAATTAACTGCATATTAAAGATATGACATGTTAGAAATGGAAAAAAAATACAGAATTAAAGCAATTGAAAGACCCTAAAATATATTAGCAAAATACCCATATTTATGCAGTACTATGTCCAATGGAAAATACAAATATATGTACATTTTGAGGGATATTACACAGCTTATTATTTTTTTATTTAATTTTTACCTTTACATCCTAATACTAAAGTATTTTCACTAAGAAGCATCTGGAATTCTCATAGTATCAAACACAAAATATTTTGGTGAATCCAAGTAGTAGTGCTGGCACTAAGATGTCTACAATAGTTCAAATACTAGTCACATGGGACAGCTTAGCTTGGAAATATTCTGCCAGCTCTGCCCATATACTGGGAACTAAAGCTGGTAATGCGCTTCAAAGACTCTGATCAAACCAACAATTTCAGCAAGCATTCATACATCACGACCATTACACTTCTGTTACTTAGTCATTCAAATTTTTGCCTCACCTTGCAAAGTATAGAAAACTGCTAATAATGAAAATATAATAGTGAAGTCTGATCCTTAAAAAGAAACTAACCTTGTGCTATACAACACTGATCCATCCACCCCACTAAAAGTGCTTTTTCAAAGGTTTTGGGGGCGGCGGGGGGGGAATCCCATCATCCTCAGCCAAAAGGATGACAGTCACCAACTGGGGGGGGGAGGGGAGAAATGACACAAAGGAAAAAAAAGAAAGAGAGAAAATAGGGAATCAGTAAAAGGGCCCAAAAGAACTTTAAGAATGTGGAAAAAGCAAACAAAGAAATATCCTAGAGCTCTATTTCTGAGTGCATACCTATACACCTTTTGAATGTCTTTTGTTTGCTATCTAGAAGGTGGATTTCATCACTGCTTTTTAAATTTCACTTGTTTTGTAAATACTTTCCAAATGACTAATAACTCTGTTGTTCTAGGACCTCCTTGAAAGAAACTCTTGAATCTTTAGGGTTTACACTGATTGCAAGTTTTAAAGACATTAAAAAGCATAACTGCAGCCAAAACCTTCTGAAAGTCATAATTAATAAGCAAAGAGGAGGGGCTATTTCATACTGTATTGAACTCTGTTACAAAGGGAACAAAGTAAACTGTTTGCTGATTGTTTTTGTTCTCATAACCTAATACAAAACTATGCTAAACAAAAGCAAAGATGATGTTTGACCAGACTCCAGCACTAAAAACACTGAGCTGTGTCTGTATTTAGCACATTGTTGAAGCATGCTAACTATTCCAGTAAAAAGATTTCTGGAAAATAAAAGTCTTCATGAAGTCCTCCCAAAAACGCACAAGAACAACTTCCTTGTGGTTGTTTTACTGACTTGTATTCATAATCTTATGCTTTTGAATAGCATATTGAAGGATGATTAGCTAAATAACGTCCATTAATGTAAGGAACTAGTAAAATGCTGATGATCTATTTTATTATATTTTCAAATGTTAGAGTTACTGTTCTCAATGTAAATATGCACTCAGCCAACCCAACAAAATATTTCATATCTGAATTACTGCAGTCTACTTTCAGTCCATGATATAAAATTCTTTGCCTTCAATTTTCCATCTCTTAGGGTTTGACCACAGTTAAGATCACCACCAAGAAGAAACATTTAGGGAAGACTTCAGAGACTTCATGCTTCCTAATTCTTAGAAGTCCATGTCTGTCAATCATCCTGCAGTACGTGCTTCTGCTGAACATGCTGAGGTGCATCCTAAAGACAGGAAACTACCAGGATCTGTGCAAGTCATATAGAAGCTCTTTGGTTCTGGCCAATGGTGGCTACGCTAAAGATTCCTGGAAATGCAGCTTCCGTGTGAGACTATGACTTTCAGCCACGGATTTTTAGAGGAAGCTGGTAAAGTGACAAGTCTCGGGAAGAAAGCAATATTTATTGCTTTTCATATTCATTCCATGTAGCTGGAGGGGAGAGAAAGCATGTTTCCACTGGACTGCCTAGGCCTCTACTTACTCACATTAAGAGATTCTGGATTCAAAATAGCCCTTTACTGGATCCAAAATAGAAAGGTGAGGAAAGGAGTGAAAGAAATCAAATATGAAAACGGCAACCCTCTGTAAATATCAACCGGGCCAAGAAACGCCAGGGTTCCTATGAGAGGACTGCATTCTCTATTGACTTTATAGGGCAGAAAACTGAACTCTTCACAAATACCAGGACAAAGTGCTGCTCTTAAGTACTTAGAGCTGACTGCGTCATCACACAAATTTTTACAAAACTTCCTTTCACCTGAAAGGTAGCTGAAGTGATCTGCAGTCCTTCCTGCATACTCTGCTGCAGCTGGTTCTGTATAGTGATCTTCTTCTCCTTCGTAACGGATGCAATAGGAAAGCTCCGGATCACCGTCTGCTCTCCAACTGAGGACCATAAAATTGTATTTACAGTTACTTCTTAGATGACAGAATCAGATCTGGTTTGGGCACATTGTACTTTTAATAGATAGGAATGAGTAAGTGCAAAGCAACATGAAAATAACAGTACAGAATTAATTTCAGGCAAAATATCCAAAAAGTTGGTGAATTCCTAAAGTATTATTTGTAATCTGAATTTCTGCTTAATTTCAGCTGGGTTGAGTAGAAAAATATTCTCCTTCTTTCTGAGTCTTTCTACACAATGGAAATGCACCCCCAAAATCTAGGTCGGTAGGGGGTGAAGAAACAGTTTCAAGATTATTCAAATTTCATATTGCATTATACAATATTATACAATGAATAATATACACTGATATCTCTACATATGACCATGAACTTTCCACAATAAATTTATACTTCTAAATGACAATCTGCTTAGAAATGGCAGATGTCAAAATATGAAATTTTATATTGAGAAGAGCTATATCCATTACATATTAAAAAGAATACTGAATTTATTAATAAACATTTTAGGGAGAATACTAACTCATGAATATTTGTCATTTAATACACTTCCAGTGGCTGAAATGCCGTGGAAGCTGCAGATCTCACACAATATATATGTTCTCTCTTAGTGGTGAAGAGGCTTACAAACATTGCTCTGTAAAGCAGCATTATTAGACCAACTTTACAGACGGAACTGAGATATGAAGATACTAAGCATTTTGTCCATTTGAAACAGAAAGTCTATGGAAATTACTGAAGTATGGTCAGGAATTCCCTTATTTTCTGTCTCCAAATTTAGGTAGTCCATAAAAGCCCATAATACCATGTGACAGTCTGCTGAAGTTTCCTCTAAGACAAGTACATATTATGATATTATATTACATAAATTACTGGAGACAGTACTCTAAATATTTAACAATACATAGGAATAAACAAACATTTGGCACCTAATGCCTCATCTAAAGAAATAAGTTCTAGTTAAGTTAAATGCAAAATCAAAATCAATCATTGTCATATCTAGTGATAAAAACTTATATTAAGAGATTATTCTTATCTGATCAACATGAAAAAATTTACTGTGAAGTATATACATTTTTACGTTGATGCTTGAATAGGTGGATAGGCCAGCTCAAAGTCTGGCCTATCTGAAGGACCACAGTTATTACTGTTTAATTTGTCTTACCCAGTTGATCATGAGGAGTGCCTTTAAATATAATTCTGTAAGTGGTAAGGAATAAAGCTCCTTCAGCAGGGAGGATGTGAGGACCTCCAAGCAGTCCTCCTGTAGCTTCCTCTCTGCCATCAGGATCCAGTAGCACACGGAGACCTTCACAAACAAATTCTTCTCCTGGCAGTAAAGTTGGTCGTAGTATTTTGGGCTGATGCAAATAAACGAAAGTGTACGTGTAATGGCGATACCAGTGTTATACCTCAGTCTAGTTATAATATTTGGCTTAAAAAGCTTGAAAACAAAATTGTTATGAGACTGAGTCCAAAGAAGGCAAATGGAGTTTGGACTCAACTAAGAGAAATGGGTCTCAAAAAACAGTGGGCATGCAACAGCTTGTTTATGATCAGAAGTTTGGCTCTAGTAGTTTCATAAGTTCGTATTTCATGAGACTAAAGCCAAGCACTTTATTTATCACTGGTGGAAATTTTCTTTCAATGTTTTGATGTTTCCTCCTAAAATTATGAGGGGGGGAAAAGATGACTAAATTGCATGATTCTAATACTTGTAAAGAATACAAATATGTTTCATAATACTTGCCTTCTGTATTGGTGGAAGCCGCCTACTCTCACGATGGACAGCCTCCAGGGTCTCTATGTGCATGGCTACAATGCCTGTAAAGCAGCAATACCATAAATGAAGTCTCACATAATGTGAAAGCTGCAATCTAATTAAAACTCTGATATTCTCAAATTCTCAAATTTAAACAGCAAAGGAATAATTATTTGTAATTCAACAGCAATTATAGTCTAGAAAAGAAAACTAACCACCTAACTTCACTGAAAGTAACTGAAACTAAAAAATGCATTTGCCTCACTAGAAAAAAAAAGAAAAAATAAAGACTACAAACCATTTTTTGGTCACAATTCTTACCTGGTATCATGCAATGAAGACCCTTGATGTGATCCTGTGTAACTCCGCTCTCTGTGCAAACCTTGTCAATAAATCTGGTGATGAAGCGTACAACTGCATTTGCAACGTCATTGTTCTCAGAGTCCTCAAATCCACTTTCAGTGTCATAACTCTCTGCAACACTGCCTGCAATACTATGGATGTAAATAAATTTCAAGTGTGAAAAATTCAGCTGGTAATGCATATATGATACCTTGCTAGAGGCAGACAAGCTGTGGTGGTTTTTTTCTAGTTACAATACATAAACCTTAGTAAAAACATACAGCGGTACCACAATTACACTATATTTTCATTAGCACTGTCATTAACACTATCAGAACTGCATGGAGAACTTTCCCTCCATGAGTCCAGTGCAGACAGGCCCACAAGAGAAAAACTGCTTGGGTGTGAGCTCTATGTCTTGTCTTCACAGAGTCAAGTACATTATTTGCAACACATGGTAAACAAATAACTAGTTACATACGGAAAGATACATTAAATGGATATTTTGGTTGCAGAGCAAACCATTCAAAAGCTAGAAAGACCATAAGAAAAGTTTTTTGTCTATCAGGAAATGCAAGCAAGTCAGTGGGAAGTGTACTTTGAATGTCTAATATTAAAGAGCCAGATTCATACATTGCAACATATACTGCAATCTCTCTACTGAGCATGTCCTAATGCCTGAGTTTAGAGGTGTTTAGTCAGCAGAAATGAGTAGTCATGGGGACTTTGATACTGATAGCCTACCTATCTTTTACTTGATGTCTGTGTTCTCACGTAGTGTTCTACCATTTTATCAGGTGGGAAATTTGATGGATCATAGGTGATAATTAAGACAATAAATAGAGAGGGAGGAAGGCTTGTTATGAAACGTCCTGGATTTGCATGCTAGGAAATGTAACTGGAGTTATGCTCCTCCTGCCTCCTTAGTAATTTAATCTTTGCCACAGTGGTTTAGCCATCCTGCTTTTTGTGACCTCAGTGCCTTTCTTCCTTGCAGATGTTGCACAGAAATGATGATTTTATGGATGCTATACAAATGCTTTCTTGATTGTAGGTTCATACACTGCTTTTTTCAGGTTACCTATTCAGTAGGTTTTGGGCTGCTGTTTTCTTTCTCATCATACCCCATGTTTGTCTTCAACATGTACATTACTAGATTAAAAATTCTTACTGCGACAATGAATTTTTTATTTTATTATTAATAATTTTTTTCCTTTAAATGGTGGTAAATTACTCCAGTTTAAGTTCCGTTATTGAAGAGGAATCATGTTAGGCTTCTGCTCTCCTTAATTAATGAAGTTGAAGATAAGATACTGAAATAATCTGGAATTTAGAATTAGTCCTGAAACCAAGAAGCTTTTGAAAACTGTGGCACATCCTGACTGATTACCACAGAACTTCTGTACCCACCTGTTTGTAACAATACTGTTGCTTCCACTCTCCCAGTCACCTGTAGCCGATGTTCTCAATAACTTGTTCTTAGTTGTATCCAGTGGTACTAGCAGGTAGACCATGAGGTTAGCAAAATGAATTGCCTGACTGAAAACTGTACTTTCCTCATTCTGGACTAGCTCTTGCTGTGTTTGTTTAGTAAGAGTTGGCCATAACCGCAACTGCTCAGCAGCCAGGTCCATTGCTGTCTTATCCTGGTCTGAACCTATGGAATTTCTCTCCTATAAGACATATAGAAAGAAATATAAAGACATAGAAGAAATAATAACTTAAAAAACAATGTTTAGTCGAAACTGTATTTATTAAATTGTTTATTAAACTTCTTCAGTTATTTATATATTAATTTTAAAAGAGAAAGGGTTTAAGAAGAGTTATGATTACAGTAAGTGAGCTTTGAAGGCAGTTTACTGAAATATGTTAAGTAGCACAATGTGGACAGATTTAAACAACATAATTTCTTTTTAGATCTTTTTTATGCTATACAATCTTCCATGTTTCTTCAGAGTCGTTTATTGATTTTAATATAGCTGCTCTCCATAGCTTATCCACTTAGCTCACATAAGAACAAGCATAAATCAGATTGAGAAATAACATGCAGCTTATTGCTTGATGCAGGTGATATTCTCCAAATTTCTAGGATGTTCAGGTGAGGCAAGCTTTTACATAAGTAGTTTCCAGACCAGGTGAAACATTCATGTTTTAACATGTCGGAGTCAAATTCTAGCATTTGCTTGAAGCAAAGTAGGTAGATGGCACACAGTCAAACTATATTATAGCCTGAGCAAAATAGAATAAAGCAACCTGGCAGCCAGTATTAGTGACTTCACACCTGATGCTAAATTATTAAAGGTCTAGGAAACCTGTAAATGCTTTTTCCATACTAAGTTAAAGTTGAGCTATTCTTCCATATAAACACATGCAGGGGTTAAAGTAGCTGCTTCCAAGTTCTACTATTCTTGACATTTTTCTTTAATTACTGTTGGATTGGAAGGGACTCCCCATACACAGTCCCACAGTCCTTTTCTCTTTACCCTTGATATGTCTGCCATACCTTTTCAGTTCCTCTTTCTGACTACATTTCTGAGAATATCTCTGCCCATTTTACTTCCTCTCTGCAATGCTGTATGACGTCGGGGAGCATACACTTTTCAGTCACATAGTTGATAATGATATTTTCATACAAGAAGAGAGATTAGAAATAGCTCTTTACTATGTGTATGTGCTTCTTAACAACATCATATTTTAGCATGCTGCAAGGTTTCCCATTATACTTTCATGTTTGTATTACAGATGTACTTTCCTCCTGCAGAGACAGACGAGTTGTGCTCTGGAAGATCTGCCCAATTTTAATCAAGCAGACTGAGTGCCATTCAACAGAAATCATCCTAGGGTTTGGTAATAATCTAACACCGGGCACTAGAGCTGCTGCTAAGCTTAGGTTCTTCATGTAATAGACTGCCACTAGTTTATAACATTGCTATATGATAAGTTAAAAGTCTCAGGAAAAGAATATACCTTAAAGTGTGGAAAATTATACAAAAACTGATTGTTTGAAAATTCATAAGAGCAACATCAAATTAGGATGCTTTGCAGATAAAATGTAAGTTTCTGTTATTTTTCCGTGTTATTGTATGCTGTTTAATATGGGGAAAATTAAAGAAAAATACGTAAAACTGGAGAAACCATAACTTAGCTGTCTATAACTAGGAGACCATTAAAATGTGAATAAAAATACTACCTTGATATTTACTTTAATATATTCTCCTACCTTTTGTCTCAACAGTACTGCATGGTTGTCATCTTTGGCTGTTAGGTAGAGGGAGCGAACTTGATTTTGTACATTGCTATAAAAGGTTGTTTCCCAAAACTGTTGGTTAGTCCAGATAGGATGGTCTTGTACACAGGTGTAAGCAAACTGACTAACTCCAGGTGCTAATTTCTGAAAGCAAGATACATGCAAAATTGACAAATTAGTCCTATTATTTTATTTCCTTCAAAGGCTATAGGTTGAGTATTGAAATATATATATATATAAAATCACTTGTACAGACTGAAATATGCAATATATACCATCTTTTGTTCTGCAATATAGGAAAGAGAAATTATCTCCAGTTTTGTGCCATTAATTAACATAGAGGAAGCTTGTATACAAAGTCTAATGCCAGTGCAAGGCATGGCTTTCTTGATTCACAGTAGAAAAACGAGACTCGAGAGGAAGAATTCTGTGATGATAGTACAGAATACATTTCTAATATAAAATATTTTCCTTACCAACAAAATATAGTATTTTTAATAACCTAGTCCTACAACACATAAATCAGTATTCAAACAGATTAATATTATTTCTCCTTTTATTTAAAAGTCAGAACTACAGTAATGAAATTTAAAATCATCGTAAATGGCAACTGAGTCCTTCCAATAAGCTGCATTTGTTGCAACAGCAGAAGATTAAATAAATTGTTCCCTTCATTGTTATCTACCACACTGTATGACCCAAATTCAGGTCCTGAAAGTGTACTACATGGAGTATGTTCTTTGAAGTCACAAGGGTCTGGATCCCTATAAGGTCTCAAACAAAACCGGAACTGTTACAGCATTACTCATTACGAATGGGCCATTTTTTTCAAGTAGATCTATTTATTTAGGTGGCACCAGTCTCCCAGTGAGTTGTTTAATATTCTTGATAACCACATAAAATGAAAGGAAATTTATTTCAGTGGCCCAAATCATGAAGAATGAAATCTTGTATCATACATTCTTACTTTTTGAAAAAAAGGCCACAGAAAAGTTTGTGTTGTATACTGAATAGAGCAAAGAAGCAGGTAATCCAAATACCCGCTTATGTTTATTTCTACAGTAGAACTGAAGAATGGAGTACCTTACTGGGTGCCTTATTTAATGACTTTCACTCAGAATACTACCCATACCCAAAATATACACTGTATATAGAAGTTAAATTTTACTTAACGATTATGTTGTAAACCACTTTCCTGTAAAGCATAAATACCACTTGATTTAATATTTATAATTGTACAATTGTACACAACAGACAGTACATATAATACTTCGTAGCAGGCACGCAGGATTCAAGTGGAAGGCTAAAAAATTACAACTGAAAATTTTAAAGTTTGGTTTACAGATTTCTGGTTTTGCAATTCTTCAAACCGTGTTTTCCACACTACGTTCTTCCAAATACATCATGAACTAAAAGTTCTGATAATGTGCCATGTATTCATTCCCTATTGAAGACAAAGTCCATTGAAATGGTACGTTTGAGGAAATGCTATGTGACATACTACTAATATTTACCCAGTTGAAATACCTTCTCATGATTAACCATCAAAAAGAGAAATGTAATTTTTATTTAATCATGCAGAATTTCATCAAAATTTCTTGGTAACCTGTTAAGAAATCTAAATGTGTAGAAGATTCAAATTACATTAAATGTGACTTTGTTTATTCAATACAGGTTGAAACAGAATATAACCAGTTTGTTTAACAGATTCCCAAGTTTCAGCTGTGACGCAGTTAATGTAACTCACAGGAAATGATAACTTATCACACAGTAATGGCTCCCATGCTTGATCTAGTTGTTAAATCACAGAACAGGACAGCTCGGATAGTGTCCTACTGATCTTTGTATTGACTGCTAGGCATCCCTTGAAAAAAATCTCAGGCATACAAAATATACACTAAACCTCAAGTACATCAAGCCTGTTAATTAGCAAGACAACTAACAGTACATGAAATTGAGTCTTTTAATTGTAAAAAATATAAAAAGGATTACCTCTATCCTCCTGTAAAGCTACCTCCTTTACAGTAATCTTTATTCTTTAAGAGCTGTACACATTTCATATCTTTCACCATTGTCAGGTGTGTATACAGCTAGCTTAAAATAGCTTAATTTATTCAGCTGTGGTAATTAACACAGGGCCCACAGAATGGATCCAGCTCAATCATTCACCTAACTCAAAATTCAGAAGCACAAAACTTGTGTTACAGAGGAATGGGGATGATGGGTAAATTATGGAATATAAATATGGACAACACATCTTGAAAGCTACAGTTACTGCTAAAGCCATATCATGAGTTTTACTTTGATTTATTCTTTATTTTTTTTCACTGGCAGTAATTGCCAGTCACAATACAGCTGCAAAAAGGGGAGTATGATGTCAGGAAAAGTAAAAAAGAGAAAAAGAAAGAGAGAAAAAGCCCATTCAAGCCTACCTAGTTGGTGTAGTTACTCATGCCGGTTTGTGCAGTGAATGCCACACAAAGGAGTAATTTGACTAGTAACCTATCCAGCTGCCTTTGATGCCTCAGCCCAAATCAGGTAATTGTGTAAACTAGGTAAAGAGGGGTTGATCTTTGACATAAACCCAAAAGAAAGTTTAAACAGCTCATAACCCTAGGCCCATAGTAATAGTGTTACAGAAATAAAAATGAGACAGATGATTTTCACATGGGGACAAACATGACAGGAAAGCTGAGGGGCTTTTAGATGCTCTTCCTGTGCTCATAATTTAAAACTATTAACAGTCATGCACAAAACACAATTTTTAAATTATGGAGATTTATGTTCCAATGTAACGACATAAATCAACACTGACAGTAACTCCCAGGCAAAATAAAAATAGTTTGTTTACAAAAGGAAGAAAGAAAATCCATCAAAAAGCTAAGAGATCATAAACATTATCCTTCTCATCACCTGCACGTGTTGAAACAAATGGCAAACCCTGATAGTGGCCAGAGCACAGAATCAAAGTCAGGACTTAAGAGTTCCAGGCTTAGCTCTGCCAGTTATTTTGGGCAAAATCACTTTGGATTCTCAGCTTGTTTTGGTTAGTTTGTAAAAAAGCAGTATGAATACCAACGTTAAGAAGCATACTGCTACTTCCTATGCAGTCAAAATTCATGGATTAAAAATCCTCTTGGTACAAATATATGAATTCCATGAAGCTTACAGTGTCTATATTCCCTACCCTGGGAGTGCTTAGTCAGCCCATTTGACTAGAATGGAAACTAATCTAATACATCAAAAGGGCTCCAATGTTTACTGTTGTATTCAAGAGAATTTGCTCAAGATTTCTCCAATGTAAGTAAAACAGTAGCTCAGTGTTTTTCATCAAGTAATGCTACATATATAAAACAAATCTTACCTATCTTTCCATAGGACGGCTAACCTATGCTGATACTTATGTTCTTTCTCCCTGTCCCAATAATTAATTTCTGTCACACAGAATGAATTTAGGAGGCAGCAGAAGAATTTCCTACTTATAAGGGAGGATTTAAGGCCTGACAGCTTAAAAAAGACTCCAGAAGAAAATAATAAAAATAGTTCTGAAGTGATAAAGTCCTTATTCTACAGCTGTCTGTATGATAGCTTAAATGAGCATTGAAGTGTAAATTTTGTAACAACCAACAGAAAATGAGTTAACTTCTGTAAAGGACACCGAGCTCTTTCAATAGACTAACGGCACTTTAAAAAACCCCAACACTCTCCTCCCAAATTATGTATGAAACAGACATTACCTATATCAAAATAATGAATTACATTCTACAGTTTGTGAAAACACAAGGTAGATTTGGAACTTGTTACGTGTGACTATATGCAATTTCCTGAATTCAGGAATTATCTTTCCATTATTTCCACCTGAGTGGCACTGGATAATACCTGCCTAGAATTTTTTCTGTTTCCTGACACTGAATACTTCTGATTCTGAAAATTATACTTGTAGCTCAGTAAAAAATGTGCACCAGCTCCAAGACTCCCAAACATACTGTGAGGTGCAGGTCCCCAGACTGCTTCTCTATAATGCTGTGTTATTTAGATTGCTTGTTTATGGAAAAGAAAAGCATGCTTTGTGCTGATCACTCAGTCATTATCCTCTACCCCGCAAAAGCTTAAAGAAGAAAGCAAGTTTATTCTAGGAAAGCAAAGGATCCAGTTATGGACTGTGAAGTTGGAAAAAGAATTACAAACCAAAAAGAGTAAAAACCAGAATATAAATATACCTGAGGCTGCTCTTTTCTGACAGGGTTTTGCTGCATGTCTCTTGGCTATGGAAACGAAGGGGCAAACTCAACAGTATTCTATTTTTTAGAGAAAGCCAGTTTACTTGAGAAGTAAACTGGATTTCTATCTCCAACTTATATCCTGGGTTATTGGTTTGGATATTTTTGGTGAGAAGAGGAAGGAGGATAGCTGAGAAGGAGGTTGCTGCTGAAGGCAAAGAATAGCTTCCTCCTTAGCTCCTCAAGGAATCACAGTGTTATGGGTTATCTGCCTGACCTCTGTGAGAAAGCTATTGCAACATTTGTGAAATTACACACTGATCATCTTTGCATACCAAAGGAGATGACAGCACTTCCTCTCTTATATTGGGTAAGGTTGCTTCTGGAAGTCTGCAAGTGTAAGCTTACAGATCATCCAGGACATAGTGACAGTGCTACTTTAAAGGGTTACTCCCCATCTAGGAGCTGTGTACACAGACATTCAGTCAATTACCACCTATTGCATATCATGACTAGGTACCACTTAGTGTAGGCAACACGCTGCCCCTACCCAAGGCAATGTAAATCAAGTTCTGCACAGGAACATATTCTTTGAGCCAGTCCTACATTCAGATCTGTGTTGTGCCCACACAGATTCCTGGTAAATTCAAAAGGACTTCAGAGAAGTCCCACAGAATCAACCTACATAGATTGACCTGCAGGACTAAGGCCTATCTATATATTACTTGCATACAACACTGCATCACACTGCATATATATCAATATTTATCACAGCGTGTACATACTCAAACAAGTATAAGTGTATATGAAATATATTTTCAAGTCTGACTGAGTGCTGCATGGATAACATGAGTCAATAAATTCAATTCAATAAATGGTTTTCCCATTTGGTCTGAAATATAAAATTATACCCACATGTACTGT